CAAGCTCACTTCCAGGCAGAGCAGCAGCTCTTGTGTGCAGGAGAGAGAAGACAGGACAGTTTCTGCTTTCTACCTGTATGTATTGCCTCAGAAGACTCTCAGACCGTGCATGCTTGGTGGAATTTCTTTATTGAATTACTATTTCAGCTGAAGCTGCTTATAACTGATGTCTGTCAGACTTTGGAGGCAATGTGAACCCAAAGAAAAAACTTGGTGAACAATACTGCTTTCTCCAGAATCTTACTGTGATAGTAAAGTGAAGAGGGGCCAATGCTGGTCAGGACTGGGATGAGAACAGCAACATACAAAAAATTTACTTTGTCTTACATAAGAATGTTTTATGGAATTATTCAGTTCCTTGTTATCTCCAGCATATTTTAACATTTCAGTTCTGTAGGGGATTATTCTCCTTTTTATAATTAGAATAATTTTTCCCATTGTGTGCTGGGAAGAGAATTTATATGTAATCTCCTTGAGTATAAAGAAGGGTGTCATATTCATCAGTGCAGTTCCAGGAATCTTGCCACAGCATCCAGGTTATATTAGACTTGTCCAAGTAAACAATTCAACTCAGATAGGAAAAGACTTTAAAATGATGTTTGAGCTCTCAAACTTCTTATGATACTCTGCCAGGTTTTAGCCATCTACATGATCAGAAATAGCAGCCTAAGGTTTACAAGTGGTTGCAATGTAATCCTTTCATGCGCTATCCAAAATGTATATGAAGTAAATGTTTTAATGAGGACACTCTGAGTAGTATTGTAAGGATAATTTGCACAGAAAATTTTTCATTAAGTAAAACAATGTGTCAACTAGTTTTCAACACCAAAGTTACCATACTAAGAATTACCTTGATAATTCATATGAAAATCACGTTTTCTTTACACAAATAACAGTTACAAAATTAATTTTCCTTGTTGCTGTACACATCTGACATTAATCTATTTAAAAATTCTCTCAGAACTGTATAACTATGTACATCATATAAATTGGCCAAGTGCCCCTTTCAGATCATGAAATAAAAATATACCTATTGTATCTGTGCAGTGTATCTAAGACATGTTTTATTTCTACAAACACCATAGTACCTCCTATAAAATATTTAAAAAATTCAGTCATGGATTCTGTCTCATGTAGTGCAGGACAATTCATTCACAAATATTTTAATAGTTAAATATGGCTTTCATTTTAAGGAATGTTTTTAATTTTTAGGAATCTAGAAAAATCTAAGAAATCAGAAATATTTTAATAAAAGAATAATGTAAAATATTCACAGTCTTGTTTTTATAAAATTTGACTGAACAACTGACAGAAAAGCAAGGGTTAAAAATGATTCTCTAACCACCCACACACCCCTGGATCTTGAGAGGAAGATTCTTTAATACTTTTTCTGCCAGCAGTATTTGTTGCTTAAGGAAGTCTGTGGGTAGATAAGAGGTTATTATCCCTCCTACACACACCCCTGCTCTTATTTACAACACCAAATCTCCATATATATAAGTATTTGAAACACTAATCCTTTTCTTTCAATCCCTTTCTCAAATTCTTTGGAACTTGGTCCACATTATATTCAAAACTAATAGCGCAAGGTTATTTTTTATGTTACAAGTTTTCTTACACACTAGAAGAGGATATTGTCACTGAACTGAGAAAAACCAACCTTTAATATTTGTATACAATGTTTGGTCCTTATTATTCTACAAATTATCTTTATGAATGAATGCACATTTGAAGATCATGTCAGAGATAGAATAAACATGTTTTACTAATAAAGTGAACCATTTGAAAAGTTTCATCTCAATGAACAGATCAATAAAAGATTTTAAAGCTCCCTATAAAATGCATCCAAACAAGTTAACATAAATTTTATGCAACCTTTATATTCATTTTATTTGTAGTAAAAATGTTCCCTTGAATGCATTAAATGACAGATATGCCCTTGTGAAAATGGGTTAAGTTTAAATTATTTTTAAAAATAATCAGGTTTAATCTTTATTGTTAATGTAATATTTGTTTATTTTAAATAAACAAATCTAAAAATCTAAAAAAGAAAAATCTAAAAAAGAAAAAAATTGATGTTTTAAAAATGATTTTAACTTTGGAAGTTTAGTATCATTTATGACAGTCACACGTGATAAGTGTTTTGATGTGAATTTTTGTACTTCACCACTCAAATCAATGCACTCCACTTGGGAATAATAATAACATTCTGTTAAGTAATAAATTAGAAAATAACCATTGACCTTCCAAAGTGCTTGCAAGGATGACCCTATTATTGAGAATATATGCTGTAGATGCTGGCTAGAACAATCGCTTGCTACAAACTGTTGGACTAGCCAAATTATAACAGGCTGTATAATCACTTGTGGTTAATTCCAAGGAAATGATTCTGCTCTCTGACATCCTGGAAGTGGGAACTCCATGAAAATAGAGAAGAAAATCTACCCTTTGCATAGCAGAGGTAGTAAGCCAAACCCATTTTATGTACAACCCAAAGGATATGTGAATTGAACTTGCATATATCACTACAATCCTAGTTAGTAAGCTTTTTGGAATCTTGTAAAAAGAATTTAAACAAAATTGAAACCACTGGTATTCTAGAATATAGTAACATGTAGACTAGAAAAAGAAAGCAATCCAGTCAGTTTAAAAACCACTCTTTCAACTCTATTTTAAAAACATATGCAATTAAAAGTAAATAAACATTACTAAATTTTTCAGAATACCAATTAACAGAATACAACTCAGAATTAAATGGGTTATATCCTCCATTTTTTTCTAAATTAAATATATCTTAAGAAGTTGTTTTGTTTTAGGGCAGAAGGTCTGGCTCAAATGGTGGAGTGCTTGCCTAGCAAGTGCAAAGCCCAGAGTTCAAACTCTAGTACCATCAAAACAAAACAACAAAACATTGTTTTGTTTTATTACTCTAGGTCACTATAAATCATCTGTAATTGAAAAGAATAATAAAAAAACTAAAATAAAAAGGAAAACAAAATAGAGAAAGGAAAGTGGTTTCCAATCACATGGTAAATATTAAACTCATGAGATGAAAATTATTTTTTAATAAAAGCCCAGCATCATTCAGATCACAGGATAATGTAATGATCCAAAGATTTCAATCTAAAATCCAACAATGAAGGGTGAGTTTGATTTTACTTTCATTTTCATATGCTAATAACAATAAATGAAAATTAGAAACTAGTATTTAAACCAGACACCACATCTTATTATTTAAAAAAATGAAAAAAATGATACATTGTGATAGTGGTGAAAATTTAACAGAAAAAAAATTAAGATATTCTGTGTCCTGTAAATTGGTCTGTTTTGTTTTTAAAGATGCTAGAAAATGAACGAGACTTGTTGGGTAAACAGTGGAACAGTTCAATCCCAGCACACAATCTGCCAAATTTGTCTACACACAAATGGCTGGAAAGTATACAGAATTTTGCACAGAAACTACTTCCTTACAAAAGTAACATTTTAAAAATGAATTGCTTTCTTGATATTCCAATGATGAAACATCTACTCCAGAAATTGCCTTTCCCCATTTCTTTTGCTTTCAGATTTAATTTGTTCTATAAGCTCTTCTTTGCTAAGCCTCTAAGGAAGCTTTATTGAGAATATCATATTGTCCAACCTGGGGATAGGGAACAACCTAATTTCTTAGAAGTAGAGAAATACTGTTTAAGCATCAAGTGACTGTAGACCCTCCTGTGATGCTGACATACGTTTCATACTTGAGTGTTTACTCCCGTCAATTTAGCCTTTATGGGAAAAACTGTGTTCCCATATGCTGTTCTGTTTGTGTTATGTTAGTATAGTTTATTTGAGTTAGTTAAGCCTTTCACTACATAAGACAACTTGATAAAGCTTTCAAATTTCTTCACAGATAAAGGATGCATTAAAGATCTATCCTCCCTGAACCCAAGGATTTCTTTTACCAAATTCTGCATTTAAAAATAAAAATTACCTAGAAATCACAAAGCTCTGGGTTCAAATGCCAGTAGTGCAAAAAAACACCCCAAAAAACAAAAATAGCTTTGGATTGTATATTTAATTATTTTACACAACTTAAGAAGTCATTGAGAGAATGTTTATGTTTTTATTAATCATGAAATTACATCTTTTTTTTTTAATGTGTTCGAAAAGTGGAATTTTGTTTGGATTTCATTTGGGTAAGGCAGTTGAGACATTTACAATGACAGTTTAATCCATTATAAAATGTTTATCTGGTTGTAAATACATCAGTTCAAGCTTTTCAAGTTTTGCCTTTTCCTCATATACTTCCTTAGATAAAACTAATATATCTTATTTTGGTAAAAATAACTTCATATAACTTTAATCAAGGAAGCAAAGATAATGTCTTACATTCATTGACCTAAATTTTATTTTATTTTTACTTTTCTTTTACAAACTAAAGCTCCTTTGGTTTAAAATTAAAATTTTTATTAGCATACGTTGATAGTACATGAAGGTTTCATCGTGTTAATTCCAGAGATGTGTACACTCTCTCTATTATACTTCCCTAACCCCCTCCACCTCCCAATTAAAAATTTGATGATTAAGACTTCTCTACATAAAGTTATGTATGTGTTAATATTAATATCTGGTAACCGAAGGTAGTGTTATGTGCTTTTAAAAAAAACAATCTTTAAATGATTTTTTTCATTAATTCTCCCTGTCCTCTCAACCAGGCTTGGAAGTTTCTGTTAGGAAGTTTTGACATCATGCATACCTGTCTTAAAGATAACTCACACACAAAAAAGCAAGTGAGCAAGGAATATGAAATGGAGATAGAGCACAATTCATAAACAGATCAAATAATTTGCATGGAATATGCATTAACTTAATAAGGAAATGAATTTTAATTTTTTTCCTTTCATAAAATGCAAAATATAACTTTGTCTTAGATATCTGCAATGGAAAATATGTAAGTAAATCTCCATAATATTATCTACCTCCGTGTCTTCAAATATAGAAAAAAAAGCAGCTCCTACCTCCATCTCCAGATCCTGATCCTGCATCTGGGAAGGAAAATAAGAACAAAATTTACATTTGCTTGAAAAATATCTAAATAATGTGATTTCTGAAGATCAAGTTTACTTTCTAAAGACTAAGATTATTTTGAAAATAATATTTAATCTGATAATGTATATTCATATCAATTTAATTTCTATTAACATAAAGCATAAAATAAGTTGCCTACCATTTTTATTTTTAAACTTTATGAAACAAGTATTTTTTAGCTTTGAGAAAATTCCCAACTGCTGTTTCTACCTAGGTGTAGACATCATCTACCACTTGCCTCTCTACTTCACAGTCTAAATACATTTAGTTATGTATTTTTAATGCTAACACTGGGAAATATGACTAATATTGGTGTTCTCTGCCTGATGCACCATCATCTCACATCAACATCTCAACTGGGGTTTAAGACTTATATAAAGCACCACTTCTTTGGATTTGTATTTGATAGTTTTGTCTAACTAAAATAAAATATTTCTTCCCCCATGACACATATTGAGAGACAGTACACAGAAAGTGGCATGGCATATGAAGTTCTACAGTTGGTTGACACACATGGGAAGGAGGATGAGTCCCCAGTAGTATCCCTTGTTATGGATTAACACTGCTGAGAAGGAGCAGCAGTTAAATTGTCTATCTTGGTGGTGACTCACATTAACCAAATTCGCAGGTTCTAACACTGTATTGTATCAGAATGTCAATTTGATAGAATATATCAATTTGACATAATATGTGATGTCAATTTGAGGGGGGGGGGTGGGTGAGAGAGGGAGAGGGGTGTAGGAGGGAGAAATGGCCCAAACAATGTATGCATATGTGAATAAATGAGTAAAAAAAAAAGAATGTCAATTTATTAATTAACTGCTAATGTGACTGGGCATAATCTTTAGGCCAGTATATCCTTTCCTTAAAAGCAAGCTAATGGCCAAAACAATTTATAATAAAAACGTTCCTTAGGAAATATAAAACCAAATAAGGATTTTCATCATGTGACTTGACAGTTTAATGATAACAGATCAAGAAAGGCTGGTGCATTCATCTCCGTAATTGGAGAATATTCCTGACAACTACACTGAGGGTCATAATCACACCTCCACTTCTTTCAGACAGAACAGTGCTTGAGTGGTTTGCTAAGTTTCCTTTTAGTTTATATTCACAGCTAAAATTTTAATTGACTTTATTTGAATTCATTTGAAAGCTCAATTATTACTTGTATTGTCAGAGACGAAATCACAGGTTGTACTATATTATAGTGCTAACACAACCTACTTACATTTCAGTTGAATATACATAGTTTATTTCTTTCCTACTAAAATCATAAATGTCTGTAAGTCAAGGACAACATGTTCTTCATCTTTCTATACATGCATGTACATAAGGGGAAATGCATAAAAGCTTATGGGTTCCAACCTGCAAACCGTACTCCATGGATGACATAGGAATGTTAGCCAGCCCTCCTCAGCTTATTCTTCCTCTGTTTAATGGGTATTGAATGCTCATCTCATTGGGATATTTTGAGGCTTACTGCACACTAGCTTATTTCAAATGTGTAAGCACTCTTTGGAACAAAATAATTAAAATGCTGAGTAACATCTTGCCTCTTCATCTTCAGGTTTTCTAATAAATACGTATGACTTGGGAAAATCAGAAAACAAGAGCAGTAGTGTTTTGGCTTGTATTTCTCACACATGCTTCTAAAAATCCAAAGGCTATGGTCCTTAAGACAACTAGTATTTGATTGGATCCAAATTAAATTGTTAGGGAAGAAAGAAGGAATAGATTGGGAACATGGTCACCAAAGTCAACAACATCATTACAGAATAGTTATGGGAAGCTTTAATGTTTTCTCAATTATAAGATGAGTCATCTTGGCAAACCAGAAAAAAGAGGTTATACTGTTGGACCTGAATGCTTTTCTTACAAGTGAGACCATTAAGGAGACTACCCAACAGGAAAACATTTTCTGTTTAAAACAAGATTTGTAACTCCAATGACATATAATAAATACAAAATTGTATCTTCTATGGCCTTTGATTCCTAGAGATCACAATTTGCCACCTCCACTGAGTGTCAAAAAGCATTAAAAATACATGGCAACATTATGAAGAAAATAATGAGAATCCCTTTTACTTATTTATTTGTTGATTTATTTCAATACTGGGGTTTGAAACACTTAAGAGCCTGGAGCTTGGTAGGCAGGTGCTCTACCACTTGAGCCACACAACCCCCAGTGAGAATCCCTTTTAGATTAAAAGTCAGAACACCAATTTATTTACTGTCAGAACTGGTTAATCAAAATTACTTTGGTCTCCCCATCATCACTTATATCAAAAACCTTTTAGATTTACTAATCAATGGAAGATACATCCAGCAAACTGGTTTACTAATTAAGTTCTTTAGAAATTTAAGTATGTGAATGAGCTAAGGACAGCTTATTCATTTGTGATTAAATTTTCTTCTTGGCTAAGTATTTATTTTCATAGTGTAACCAGCACATAGGGACTAGAATGAAAAGACTTGAATGAATCAGGAGAAACTAATTGTGTGTGATAATAAGAACTTGGAGGATGGCAAGTATGAAAGACTGATAATTTTTGCTACCAAATGTCACTTGCCATAACCATAACTTGTGGCCTATTTTTTCAGAACTACTACCTCCTGATACTCATTTGGTGATGTCAGAGAAAGACAGCTATCGCCCTTGGTCTTGAATAAACAAATACTTTCTTCAATACTCTGTGGTATTTGCCTACAATCTTCCTGGTTTCTGAGAGCCAAAGGTTCTATTTCTTTCTATTCCATTTGTCCTAAAGTCTCATTTTTTTTAAATTTCTTGAGTATGGTTGAGTGATTTCTCATAATTAGTTTGCTTCTTATCGTTCTTTCTATTTCCCTCATTCCTTCTCTGAAAGTAGCACACTGATCTTCCTTCCCTCCTGGGGAAGCCTGCCCAATGACTCACATGTGCTGCTGTCACTTTTATGCATTACTTCTCACTCAAGACCAAGCAGCAATGACCTGTTTGCTTCGCCAAATAACAAGTAAGTGGAGCACAGTCCAGCTGCCTCCTGACCACTTTCCCAGAAAGGCATTCACATCCTGAGGCAAAGAATCATTTAAGAGAGAAGACCACTTAACAACCAACACAAAAATAAGAAACCCTACATCCCTGTCCATGAGAAATGGCACCAATTCCCTTCTGCTCATTTTTCAAAAAGCTGGTAGTCACCAATACATCTCAGAATATTGTCCGTTACTAACAAGCAGTAGTCTAAGATAATCTTTTAAGGAATATGAGACTTTTCTCCATCATTTTCCTCTCGAACCCAGCCATCAAACACAATGCTATTTTAATACAATGCCCTGAAATAGAAATACCTGTAATCTAAGAGGGACTTCTGAATAAAATAGATTTTTTCCTGACATTATTTTCTATTTCTGTTTTTGAAAGAAGTTTACATAAATCATTTTTTTTCCCTGAATATGCTGACATCACTCAAGTTATCAGAAAGTATAACGTTCCAGAAAGAAGCTATTTGCCATTAAGGATAGTTACCATGAGACACTGAAGTTTCTTTAATTTAAGTGACTATGATACTTTCAAGCCTAATGTGAAGACTGGGTTCCATTTTAAAGCATTGCTTTATCAAGCTGGGCTATACCCCTCTTGGTTTTTTCCTGCCTATAATGCTGCTGAGCTCTAACAATCACCACACAAAAGGAAAACCTGAAAAGTTAATGAGCATATGAAATCACTTTTCCTCCTCACTTTCCTCATAGCATTCTGAGTACAATATAACTAAAAAGCTCTGTAGAACCCCAGGTTAACTGTGTCAGGTAGAACAGATGTCAGTATAAGTCAAATCATATAATGTTAAGAAGAGCATTTTGTTGAGCTGCTAACATTAGATCTTAACTTCAGAACTCAAACCTGTAAAACTGCCCTTCAGCAGATAATCTGTTTTTCAAAGAAAGTAAGCAAGCATACAAATAAACTTTATCCATGCATAGATAAGTTTCCATACATTTGGTACCTGGGCAGTCAATCAAAATTTCTAATTATATTTTATGCAACTGTCTGCACTTCATTAAACAACATATGTATTTAAACCTAGCAATATTCTGATTATACATTTCCTCTTTCTTCCAGAATTAAAAATGCAAAAAGAAAAAGAATAAGAATAATGCATGCTTTGTACAAAAGAATGAGTGGATATTCTAGTCAATATATAATCTGAATTATTTACTTGGATATAATCTAACAGAAAATGCACAACATGATTTCTGGATTCAGAATGTATTCAGAAGGTTTCAGAAAGGACCACACACATACCTGTAGCACATGATCCTTCTGAGACCACAAGTATCTCACTTTGTTGTTTGCAGGCAGCCTGCCGCAGGTAACACTCATTCTGGTAGCTCTCCCCATTGGAGCCACACACAGGCACATAGTCACTGTTGCACTGGGGAACAAAGAATATAAGCCTATGGTTATTATTGGTGTCTGCATCTCTCTAACATCATGAATTCCCTCCAATCAATTAAAAAACAAGCCACATGTTTTTGATTTTAGTGATCCCCATTGTATTCTGTAAGTCTTTAACCTTGTAAGTGCATCATTTACAGATTCACAAAGGCAATGTCAAATCAGCCAACCTGTCATTTTAGACAGAGGCAACAAAAAGTATCTAAATTTATCAAGTGATTTCAACAAAGTGGTTGAACAGTAGTATGCAAAAGATACAGCAACACATGTCTCACTCTAATATTATTCTGATATATAACCCACCTGATGTGGTAGAAAAAAACTAAACACACTACAATGTTCAAGTTATTCAAAACAAAGTTAATGTCTACATGGAGAAGTACTTAGCTAACATACCAAACATATCCAGTTCCTCCTGGCTTATGTTTTTTACTATTAAATTTTAATCTGAACAAATTGTGAATATTCAGATAAGATATTGATTTATAAATTACTTTTATTTTTAAAGCATAGGATATTTGATATAGACACAGTCTAGAAATAAGACTGTAATACAGAGAAAAACTTCCCAAATTATTGAACTATATGTTAACTTTACTGCATATTCCCAAGTATAATTATTAATATATATTTCAGAAAAAGAAAAGTTCATTTTTAAAAGTAACCTCATTAAAAAGTACACATTTTTAAAATGGAAATTAGGCAACCTACTGGGTATAGTCATCATAATATAATCAAACTCTAAGGCATTAGAGATACTTGGCTGTGTCCTATACCTGCTAATTACACCAGGGATGTGATTATCTCATGATTACTACTACTGATGCACTTCATTGTTTAATTATAATAAATGTAATGATCAAGATTATTATTTATAAATGCTTATCTATGCCAGCAAGTAAGCAAGGAAAATAAAGAATACAAGTACATGTGAAAATTCTTTCCCATTGGCTGGGACTTGGCTCAAGTGGTAGAGCCAACCAAGTCTAGCAAGTATGAGATCTTGAGTTCAAACCTAGCACTGCAAAGTACCCATCCCCCCAAATTTTTTTCCTGTTTTCTACTATTAATTAAAATATTTGAACTTTATGTGCTATAAATTTATAAAATATATAAAACAAGCCAATGATATAGTGAGGTGAGTACAAAAGTTTTTATATATATAAAAATAAACTTAAAACGCTACCATAAGTAAACTTCAACTCCAGGATTTATGGAAAAAAACCTGCCAATTAGATGAGAATCTGACTGTGAAAAACCTGACATAAATTTCTATTTAATTTCTTAAAATCTCTGTACCTCTTTATTCTCAATTAACTATTTAACTCTTGCTCTTTGCCTAATAGCTTAGTTATTTACATGATATATATACATATATATTCAAGTCAATGTTTTCTGAAATAAAAGTCTTATATGTCTTGCTTTTTATGTATCATTGAATAATGAAATAGTACATTTTGTTAATTGTGATCTACTTTTCTCAGATAGTGAATCCAACTGTATGACACTCATATTATGATGGTGCTAATTGCTAAGAGGATGATTTAGCACATATTTTAGAAATCCTTATCCTTATTTCTACAATTTATAATCTAGACATCTAGAAGGCTTCTATATAATTCCATTCCATAGTATAGTATTGGTTTCTAGATTCAGTCTATTTATGTGATTATAACTAAAAATAGATTTTATTTTTGCTAATCTTTACCTCAAGGAGAAATTTATTTCTGGTCAGTGACACCAGGGTAAAGGAGGCTTCCACAAGCTTTCCACATATATGTATTTTTCACTTATATCTGAAAACTAACCTATGATATGAAAAAGCATTTCTACTATTACTTAAGATAGAAGGCAACAGCAAAATATCAGTGAAGAGTTGTATTTCTTAACCAGAAGTACTGAAGAGGAAAGAAATAATGAGGCTTGTGCTCATGTCATAAAGCAGTGGATGAATAGGTGCTTGAAAAATGTACAGTGTTCAGGACCTGTACAAAAGGATGTAAGTAGGCTTTATGGGTCTCCATAATACTAGAATGGTGTCTAAGCACAGGGAGAAGAGATTGGAAAGAGCTGGCGACATTATGGGCAATAGACTTGCTAAACCTTCTAAGAAGACACATGAGACTTTAAATTAATGTGGATGGAGGAAATAATTAACTTGTTTGCTTGGGCCTAGCACCTCTTATCTCTGGTTATTTTTTAATCTCCATCTTCAACCCCAGTTATAATACTTGGTATGTAGATTATCTGGGTCCACATCTTCTTCCATCCAACCCTTAAACTTTCTCTATTCATCCTTCACATGTACTTCTGCAGACTAGTCAAATGCAGAGTCAGTGGACTGTGAATGGGAGTGGGAAGTATTTATTATCTCTGTCAAGTGATAAAGTGATATTACACAATGCTGATATGCATCTTAAAATATCGAATAAACTGATAAAGTGCTCATATGTTGCTTCTGAAGGATGCAGTAAGCCAAATGCGAACAGTGCTAAAAACAGAGCTGCCAAGTTCCATGCGCAAGCCAAAAGGGAGATTTGTATAGAGCTGAAAAGAGCTTAACTGTAGATTATCACCATGATGTTTTTGGCCTTTGTATCATGACTTGCACTCGTTAATATGAATAACACAGGAGGAAGTGTACTCTAAATCACTATAGTGCAAGAATGGAAGTCTAGTTCAAGGTGTTCTTAGTTCTCTCACTGTCTTGGTGTAGGACCTTGTGTGTACTACTCAACAATTAAATATTTAACAAGTTGATGGCTTAGTTACTGCATTTGAAATGCTTATATGGCATATTTGGGTAACTAACAAAGTTACATTCTTAAAACATGGAACATTTTGGGAATCTTATAAGAAGAAATGTAAATTATTTGACTTTCATGATATACATTTTAACTAGCAGAGTCACCATCTAACATTAACACCAAGCATTTCTAGAATTAGAAAACAAAGGAAAGCAGAATAACCTTAACCATGAAACTAAGATAATTATACTACATTAAAATATGCCAAATTATTGGAGATGGTTTTTAATGGTATTATGATATTGCTCAGTTTCAGAGCAAAGAGAAAACTCAGATGTTGTATGACTTAACGAAAGGCTACCCACTGGCTGGTAAAACAAAAAAACAAGACTCAAACACAGATGGATGGGTCCATAATGTATGTATTGTACAAAGTTTCTCTCAGAAAAAAAAAGTGACTTTATTTTTCTTAAGCTGTTTGCAAAAATCTTATTTTCCAAATATGTATTCTTCAATAGAATGATTTGTTCCAAAATTTCCACATTGCTTAAGAAATCAGCAATACACCACACTAGTGGATTTAATAACTTGACACATTGGAATATATGGAATTTATTTTTACTACCAAGGGATAAAAACAATGTTAGAAGTTTTTCATATGATTCATTGCTTGTTCGGTTAATAAGTACTTTTTAGCCGAGATTTCAGCATTTAGAAGCTATGTATGACTTAAGTTTTATAGATTGTCGGCACCTTCCACAGAATCTGGCATGTAGAAGGTGCTCAGCAGATGTTAAGAGAATTCTGTTATATTCCCAGTTGTCAAAAGCTTAGGAAGAATGGCTTGGTATATGGTATATTTCTCTTCCCAAAAAAGAGAAAGATAAAAAACTCTGCATATGTTACAGTTGTTTGACCATCCCATAAGTAAATTACTTCTCTGTGACTATATTTCCTTAAGCTTTTAAGAGTGGGCAGGCCTTTGACTGTAGTCAAAGTGACTCTATGTGACTTCCTATGTAAGGAAATTACAGGATACAGCCTTACCTGGCTGTTTCTGTCTTTCTGAATGCTGGCCCTTGAAACCCAGCTGCTGTGCTATGAGGAAGCTCAAACTAGCCCATTCAAAAAGATGAACAAAGAGGAGCCAGATCTCCAGCTGTGCTGTGGCATGAACTTGAGCCCTGAGATGAGTGTGACACCAAGCCTTTAAGTTACCTCCCCTTGCCCCTTGGCTAATGACAAAAGAGAGCAGAGATGAGCTGTTTCCAATAAGCCTTGTCAAAATCGTAGATTCATGAACAAAATGTTCATGAATGTTCCTTGTCAAGCCACTAGGTTCTGGGCAATTTGTTATGCAGCCCTAGTAACTTGAACATTTGCAGATCTAAAGCATGGCTTATTAAAAGAAAATATTTAATAATTGAGTTAGATAATACATGAAAAACATAAGGCCTCATCTTATTTCTAAATTACAAAGTGAACATTGATCATTGTATGACCAGCCCAAAGAACAACTACATGTATCTTCTTTTCTGCCTCTTTCTCTCCATACCTTTCATCCTTCTTTCTTTCCTTTCTTCTTTTATCCATCTATTCATCTATATACTCATTCTAAATTTTCAACCTAATTGATTTACCAGATCGTATACCATTTGATGTATAGATAGGAAGGGAGGCTGCATGAAAATGCAAGACATTCTTGGAATTCGTACTATCACCTATCACATAAGAGTTCATTGTATCTTGTTAATATTCTTTATCCAAAATGCTTGGGACCGGCTGTGTTTCAGATTTTGGAGTCTTGGGGATTTGGAAATATTTGCATAGATTTTATCCTTTAAGTACCCCTAATTTAAAAATGTGAAATCTAAAATGCTCCAAAATCCCAAACTTTTTGAGCATCATGTTGGATTTTGGAACTTGGTTTTCTGTATTATAGATGCTCATCCTGAATTGCTTTGACTATTAAAAATTGTCTACAAAAACTGGCACTTTTGTTATATTATTTGTATTTTCATTTTCATGAGTAGTATCTTGAAAAAATAGATTTGTTGCCAAAGGACATAAGTCATACTCTAGGATCACCACTTAATGGTAAGTTACTTATACGAATGGACCTGAATTTCCTCATCTTTAAGAGGAGGAGAAAGGGCTTGGGATGTGTTAGTGGTACACACGTACAACACATGTTTAGCTTGTGTGAGATACTGGGCTCAATCTCCAGCACTACATGAAGAAAAGAAAAAGAAAAAAAGAAGGAGAAAATATTCTGTCATCCAGTTATTAAAAAAATAAGTGAGGTAATATGCTGGAAGGGTAGAAATCAGTTTAATTTAAATCATCTAAGTGAAGTGAAGACTAATATATATTCACTTTAGTAACTAAATAGTAATACAAATTTGAAGACACTGTAAGTTACACACAAACATATCCGTTTCATTGATGAAATTTAACTTTCATCCATAAATTCTATAGTTTGCAGCCTATTTTGAATGAAAGAATTCATGCTTATTTCTGAAAATGTAAGAGAAACAGAAGTTTAGAAGATCACATAGAAAATAGAACTCAGAACCTCTTCTTTTTTTATCAGCTATTAGAGCACAAAATAAAAATAAACAAACAAAAAAAACCCCCTCAAACTCATGGGAAAGTACTGGGAAGAGACAAAACAAAATCACTCTAAGATATCCTACCCATTGTTCTCCATAAAACTTGCACATGTTTTTTAATTTTCCATTTAATTCAGCCACTCTACATTCTTGGCATATGCAAAGTCTAAATTTTCCACTACAGCGATGTTTATTTTCTCCTGACAGATTGACAACTATTGTACATTAGCAGTAGTAGTAATCCAGTAGTAAATTTAAAATGCTACAAGTATTAGCAAAAGCAAATTTACATTTTAGTTTTCTATTCAAACTTGCATTCATTACTTCCCAAACTATTCCACTTAACATTTTTTAAAAATTAATGACAAATACAGTTGGCTAACTAATGTATAAAAACCTCCACAAATATCTTTGCTGAGAAAAAATTTGACAAAATCTTGTGTGGCAGCTAACTATGAAATCTTTCAGTTCTCATAGCAAACCTAAGAGACTCAGGATTGGTTCCACCCCTTTAAGGTCCTGAAGTGAGATCTACATCTGGGGTGAAGAGGAAGTCTAACTGACATCATCAACACCTACCAATTTCCACTGCTGTTGGGAATGATGTGTATATACAGTGGTATGGCTATATAATCTGTGGGGTTTGCTGCAAAGTGAAAACGTGAGGTCCCTTGTTCAAAAAAGTGACACATAAATATATTGAAATATAAATAAACAAAAACGTGGCAGCAGAAAATCTAACTCTAACATAATTCCTTTAATAAGAAATATATACATTCCATTTAGTAGCATTTACACATTTAGAGTTTTATCAACTCCTTTTGTTCCCTTCTGGGTGAAATCGTAAATCATGACCTTCCATTTGAGGAATGTTCCTCTTGGTTAATTTTATACAGTTTATGAACTCACTTTTTATATCTACCCCTGTTTACAAAAATAATGTAAATTTATGGAAATCACTAAATTAAAGGGGAAAAGCCATAAATCCTGTGTGTTTTTAATTACTGATTTATCCTTTAGTTAACATCAGGGAAAGAATGAATGGGGAGCTCTTGTGTACCCTTTCTGTCGTGAAAGTACATAATTACATTGTTAAATGCAGTGGAGAGTCAGATTTGGAGTCACATGCATGTTAGATATGTACAAATATGTTTCTAACTTATTAAACACTGGTACAGTCACATCAATACCTACTTATCAGGAGGTGGGCATATTACAAATATAGTTGTTTTACTGTGTTGCTTAAAAAGGAGAAGATAATGTCTATGAAACTTTTTTCCTTTCCTAAAAGTAACTCAAATCATACTTAAATGTAAATTTCTGTCTCACTGGGATGTTGGATTCATTCTAAAATGATTTCATCAGTTCTAAATATGGCATATTAAACCAAATATTTAGGCCTGAACTTGAGTTTAATGTTCTACAAAATAACCTGAGTTATTTGTTCTATCCCCCCTCCCCCGCCCTGCTTACAATCTTGGAAAATATTCCTTATCTCCCATACATAGTTTTGTTTATATGTATATTTCCTGGTTGAGTCTTATATTAGATGTCAAAGTATATTTTAAAATGTAACTCAACACTCAAGGGCGAATATAGGATATTAGTACAATATTTGCATGATTTGAATGTTTATGTGATTATATGAATATTTGAGAGGAAAACAAAGTTTATACTTTACATGGTAGACCGCATGTGTTAAATAATGACTATAATAGCAACATTAACAGTTTTATCTTTAATTCATACCAACAACCTAGCTTTGAAGGAATCTCTAGTTTGCCAACTTTCTGTTTCAATTTTTGAGAACATTTTTAAAAACAAAAGTGCATCTTCCTTATTATCATGAAATGATTTTTGTTCTATGTGCTCATTTGCATTTCTGGAAAAGTCAGTTCTAATTAAATGTGCATGAACAAGTTAATATACATTGATCACATCTATGATTTCCAAAGTAACACAGTAGTTTTGGTGTCACCTAAATAGGAGTTAATTTAAGATTTTAATTATATTGCCAGGATAATGAAACTCAAGTCCCAAAACAGAACAATAAGGCACCCTTAGTCAAAAAATCAAAACAAAACCCAAAAGAACAAATCCATACAGTTTACTCATTGATTATTTTTACTGTTATCCTGTCAGTTGACTTATAAAATGAATGAGAGAAAAACAATTTTCCTTCCACATTCCAAGAGCACAATCTGAGGATATCTACCTCTAATGGCATTTGTAACTATGGTATATACATTTCTGCAGAAAGTATATGTCTTCTTGACATCAGTAGGATCTCTTGCCAGTACTTTTGTTTGATGCAAGCTTTCTTCTTAGCCTACATAGCTATAATTTGTTAAGTGATGAGTTGTAGAGGGAAGATTCTTGCCTTGCAGTTTCTAATGAATTAGAAGATGCAAATATAAGACATCTTACCTTGAACTGACAGACGCAAGTCACAGTGTCTCCGATTCTCAAACATTCCCCATCAAATTTACAGGTGTTGGTGTCACAGAGGAAGAGATCATTTTCTCTGTCATCATAACCTCAAATTTGAAGAGAACACTACAGTCATTAAAAATGTTATAGATTTTAACAAAAACAGAACATTACTGAAGCAATTAAAGGATTGCCCTAAATTTTAGTTTAAAAAAACCACAGATGTTCTACAAAGTTGCTCTCTATTGATAATCTCAAAATCTAGTTGAGTGATCAATATCCATTTTCAGTTTTCACAATTACTTTCTAGCCAATTCTTCAACATTCTCTTTGATATCACTATTTTATTTAGCTTGGGTTAATACTGACAGTGGTGAATGAAAGTTTGATGCTTCCTAGCTTCCTTATTTTTTTCTCATTAAGTGGGCTATATTTCTGACACTCACATTCGGTATTTTGGAAAAGAACTGGTGATGATCTCTGAATGCCATTTTACCATTTCTCCATCTTTAATTCTTCTTTGTTTTAAGGTCTGAAACAATCCTTTATTTGGAATTTATCCAGACAAAGAGGAAACAAAGCCCCAATAATAAAGATAAACAGACACTGGGTTTTCTGTGATGGTCTGTCTGGCTCAAATGAAGATTGATCACCTCTAAGTTAACAGAGGTGGAAGAGGGGTGCCAAGTTCTTGACAATCTGCTTGAAAAATCAGTACATTCTTTTTAGTTTGTGCACATCCCTTCAAGATATGTGGCTAATAATGAATTTCTTGATTTCTCAGTTGATTTCACAATTAAGTTATCTATTTCTTAAAAGAATACTATAGTTAGCAATGAAGGAAATCAATCATGATGGACTACAAAGCTATCAACATTTGAAACAATTGATCTTGAAGGTTGTTTCACGTTTCTATAATAAAGCACCAAAAGATGTGATTGATTAAGGGCCAGCAAAGTGGAACTTATTCTTTCAAAAATATCACACAAGCATGCATGAACCAAGAATAAATTGGAGACATGTTGAACTTTATAAAAAATTCCAAACTTAGAAATTACCAAAAGCAGAACAAAGTCAATCTACTCACTCAAATCTAATAGAGATGCACATCTCAACTTGTCTTAAAAGGATAAACTAGAATCATGCATGATAATTTTGCTCTTGGATTTTATATTAGCAATAACTTAGAACTGTATATTCTTTCACCTGTAAGTTACAGTTAGTCATCCCTTCCTCTCAAAAGTTACATACACTTTCTTCAGCTCACATTCCTGAATGCCACTTCATTCAGAGATAGATTTAATTGGAACAGAATTATATTTACTGAAGATGAAACATTACATACATACTTGCTAAAACTAGAACAGACCAGACTTGGGGGACAATATCCAGGCATGTCAATGGAATTTAAAATGGCAATGAAACCTCACACAACTCCACCTGGTATACTACAGGCTGTCATACTGAAATGTGAAGCCAGCCAGCTAGGAGAGTGCAGCAACTCCCATCTTTGGGCCCTTTTTAATTAGGAGGTTTCAGCAGAGTGAAACCTGCCAAGCTTTTGAGTTCAGACTCTGAAGGACAGGAACAAGAAACAAGGGGAGTGCCTAGCCCACTCTACCAAACCTTATCCAGAAATGGAGTCAGAACCCACTAAGGTCGGATCACTGTTGGCCCTGCATGAGCCTGCTGGCCTCCGTCATAGTTGCTCTAGCCTGGGAGGTCTGTGAAGGATTAAGGGCTCTTTTTCAAGTTCCCTTCACCACACAGGAGCTCAGGGAAGCAGAGGATGTGTATTTCTGGACCACAAAATCAAAGGAGGGAGGGAGGGAGGGAGGAAGGGAGGTAGAGGGAGGAGAGGGTGAGGGAGGGGGGGAAGGAAAGGGAGAGGGAGAGGAAGAGAGAGAGAGAGAGAGAGAGAGAGAGAAAGAGAGAGAGACACACACCAAGACCTACCTCCTTCACAATCTGTGACCTGGTCTTGAATGGGAGACCATTACACTCTCAAGGCACTTTTGGCAGGAATCAGCGATTCCCTTGCAGTCACCATTTGATTTATTGCTTTCTCGCTTGCTGTTTCTAATAAAGTTGTTTCTCGCTCATCCTAGTCAGACTTTTTTTTTCAATTATGGGAAAGATTGTTTTCGTTTTCCCTAGGATTAGTGCTCTTTTCAGTGAACCTGGAAAATCAGCCCATTTAAATATTTCTCAAAATGCTTGCAGCTTCAATTCAAGTGCCAGCATTTAAACGTTCCTACACCTGCACTTTCAACCTATCCCAGCACCCCACCCCCCTCAGAGGCCTGAAACAGTTCCCTGTGTTTCCCTGTGTAGAGGTAGGAGGTCTCTAGTTTGGGTTTGGGGCAGTGGAGAGGCAAGGGTTACTTGTCTAGGCTGGTCTGTGCAGGCTAAGCGCGCCTTCTTCTGCGGGTTAACGGGGTCGGGTAGGGGTTCTGGACTTACCAGAGCAGTTCCACCCGGTGGGCGTTTGGCAGTCACTTAAGGAGGTAGGGAAAGCAGCGAGCTTCACTGGGCGTGCTACGATGAGCAGCATCACCGGCAGCAACAGCAGCCAGCAAAAGCCCTCGCAAAGTGTCCAGCTGCCGCACTGCCGCGGGGACTCCCACAGCACCATGACTAGTTCGCGCAACTCTGCAGCAGCAAACGGCTTCGGAAGAACACAGGATCGCGGGGACCACGCAGCGAGCTACTGAGCATCCCGCGGACGGCGGCAGCAAAGGCGGCGGCGGCGGCAGTGACACCCGGCGGGGAAGCAGCAGCCAAACCCGCGCATGATCTCCAGAGTTTCACCAACATCCAGTGACCCGGCTCAGCCTGGGGAGGGAGAGGGTCGTCCGCTGAGAAGCTGTTCCAGAGACGCGGAAAGCTGCTGCCATAAGGAGGGGGCCCTGGGAAACCGAGGAGCAGGAAAACACAGAAGCCAGGGGGTAAAGGAGAGGAGCCGGAGGAGACAGAGTGAGGGGACAGTCAAAGCGCCCCGCAGCCCACCAGCCGCCTCTCGCGCTCTGCCGCCCGCATCCCTCTGGCGTTTGGGAAGCAGCAGGTCCTTAGCCCGCCCGGGGTCACGTGGAAAGCGGCACTCGGACTCTGATTGGCGGAGCGGGATGCAGGTCCCGGGAGGGAGGGGTCGTCTAGGAGGTGCAAGGAGGAGGCGGCCGCGGATGCCACAGATGGGCTAGCTCGCTGGGCTCTAGCCCGAATGGGGCTGGGTAGGGATGGCTCATGTTAGAAGCTCAGGCTTCAGGGTGGGCGACCCTCACACTCTTTTATACCACTTGCCTCACTCTCTGCTCCAGGACGCCCCCTACCGAGCTTGGGGTCCGAAGTTGGCATCTCTCTTCGGTGCGCGACCCTGGGCTTGTAGCCCTCGCCGCGGCTGGGTGGCGTTGTCTTCGAGCTGGTGTGGGTGGAGGTGGTGCAGGAGCCGCAGAAGCAGGGCAGAGAGGGGGAAGAGGACCGGAGAAGAGGGCGTCCTGCTGGCGCCCGGTGCTCAACAGTGCGGGAGTGCGCCGCCTGGGATGTAAGGGGATACTGGCTGGGAATGCCGCGGTTAAGAGCCCAGGGATGGTTCTCTATTCGGTAGAAGAGAGAGGGAGGGGTGAGAAGAGATGGTGTGAGTATGAGAACAGCTCTGGCCGACCTGGAGGCAGCAGCATTTCCCAACAGAGCCTGCAACCCGGAGGCTCGCCAAGCTGCCTCGGTCAGCCTTGAAGGTTTTCTCTGCCTGCCTTCTTTCTCCCCTCTCCCTTTCCTTGTCTCCAACCTAGCCCGAGAGGCCAAAGGAAGGTTTGAATCCCTCTCCCCATCACATGCTCTGGTTCAGCTAGGAGCCTATTTGTGTGGCCGCCTGGAAGGTGCGGCCAAATGCGTTTCGAAGGTCAGATTTGGTCGGGACAGGTGGTCTGAGAAGCAGCAAGGACTCCTCTGCGTAAGCCATGGGCTGCTGGGCTCACCGGTTGGAAGCAGCTTCAGGGGAGAGCGGACTCACTTTGGAAGCCCTGGCAAGTGACTCCCCCAGCGCTTTACTCGGGTGTCTGCCGAATCACCAACGACCTGGGCGAGGCGAGAAGGTCTAACTTGGCAAGAGTCGCGGGCTCTGCGCGTTTCTTTCTTTCGCTCCAGCGGGCACTGGGCAAATGGCACAGCGGGACCCGCCTTCCGCCTGCTGCATTCTTCATGCAGTTAGACACACTCTTTTGCCTAATGGCATTTTAGTTGCTAGGTCCCAGAGCTTTCTGGGACAAGGATGGAAGGAGCGCCTTTCTCCCATGACTCCGGTCACTACTGCAACCACAGTGTTTTGATGCCCTACAAGGAAGAGTTTTCTTTTTGTGTGATCCTTCAGTGATTCAGGATTTTTATTTTCTTTTCTCTACATGCGTTCTATTCTCTTATTCCTCCTTCTCCCTCTTTCTCCTCTTTCAAGTGCCCTCATATTTTCCCTTTTTCTTTAAATTGTGTTTTATCTCCTCTCCTTCCACATTCCCTGAATTTACACTAAGCATTGTTTGATGGTATCTAATAAGCAATTAGCGACCATTCTCAATCACTTAAAGGCACTAACATACTTTGAAAACATGTCCTATCTATCTTCTGCAGGCACCACCAGAAAAACAAATTGTGCCCCAGCAATCTTTTTAAGTACTTTAACCTCCAACCTCCTCCCACTTTCCTGTTTTTAACTTCTCCTCCGAGAGATGTGATCGTGCAGTGTCTCTGTGCCTCAAAGAAATCTCTCTTCCCTTCCATACGAAACCCACCCCTTTACATCTCCGCCTCCATTCAAACACTAAGTCTCCCCTCCCCCGCCTACCTCCAAAGATCTCTGAATATTAGTGTCTCTCACTCCTCGCAATTAAGCAGCAGCAGATCCCAGCATTCTAGTCACTGGCATCTCGTTCCTCACCTCACCGACGAAGACTCCATTAAAACAGATCAATTTGACCAGACGTTGGAGGCATCAGAAAATCCGCTTCTAGGCAGAGCAGTTAAATTCTTTAAAGAAACGGAATGCCCAGTAGATAGAGCTGCCAAATGATATTGCAAAAATAAAGAATCAGAGATGCTTTTCGCAAAGATACAACATAAATACAAGCTTAACGCAAATCAAGCTTTAACAACTCCATAGTCCAGAGTGAGAACAGGTAATTTTCCATAGCAAGGCTGGTGTGGTAACTAATCAGGCTTAAAAATAAGCCATGCTTGAAACTAAAGGGAAAGTCCTTAAAAGTGTTTATGTAGTAATTACGATAATGAAAGGGACCTGCTAGGATTTCAGAGCTTGGCTATATAAGTGGAATTTTACAGAACCTCTTAGCAGAGGAAAACTGTTATTGAATTTCCTGCTAAGTAAATTTTTGGCATGCTTTCCAATAACATGTACTCTTCCTAAGACATTTTGCCCATAGTAACTTAAAACTCCAGAGGAGTTAATTACTGGTTGTGACTAGTTAACAAATACAGTTTCTTCCACAGAGGTTCTTTAAATTATTAAACAGTTTGAAGCAAAGCCTTTCCAATGGGAATGCTGTGATTTTGTTCCACTTACTATGTACTTAGTGTTATAGTGCCACCAAGAAACAAATTCTGAAACTGGCAAGCACCACCAAGTGGCAGAAGAACATTATTCACTGAACAGAGCATTGTATAGTTGAATATGTAAATAAAAATATATACATTATTTAGTTCACCATTAGATACCAAGGAAAGAGACAGGCATTGCATTTTATTGCAATGAAGATTGTGTTAGTGCTTCAACTCTTCCCCAACAGGGTCAAATCAGTTTGCTTATTAGAATTAAATTTAAAACCAACTCTATGAATTGTACTTTGCATTGCATATTATACGATTACTAGTAATATGATCAAACTATATCATGCATCTGCAAAGTTCTTATTTTAAAATAGTAAACACTATTAGCTTTCAGCATTCCTAAGCTAGAACAATTAAGTTGTGGTGTACATGCTCTAGAATTGGTACAGAAGGATAGAGTTAAGTTGTCATATTTTAAAATAGAAATACTACAAAGGTTTTTTATTTTTTTATTTTTGCAGAGAACTTTTTTAAAAGATCTGGAGGAAACTAGGTGTCATTTGATGGCTTGCCTACCATGCATGAAGTCCTGACTTTTAGCCCCAGCACCCCACCCCAACACACACAAAGATTTTGTTTTTATGTGGAAAGGATATCATTAAGAACTGTGAGATTATCTAAAACTTTCTGATTGCTTCTTTAAAGGTAGAATATAGTGTATGCAAACATTTTGGTTTCATCCCGACACACTCCTGTGAGACAAAGAATATCATTATTCCTTATTTTTTTAATAGAAAAGAAACATGCCTTTCAAAGCTTTAAGCAACTTGGAACTCAGAAAACTTCATTTCCTGCTGTATCACTGCTGCCTCTCAACATCTGAGAAGGGAGCTGTATTTCGGAATGTATGGGCTCTTCCCATTAAGACTTTTTGGCTGTCCTTTCTTTAGTGCATTAGTAATGCTCCATTCATTAAATCTCAAATATAAACATTGAGATCCTTCAGTGGTTTCCATATCTGGTTAATCTTATGACTACTTGAGAATGTCACACATGTACATAAATTCATATATTCCAGGTCCTACTAGCAGGAACTCCAATTCAAAAGTCTGGAGTTGGACCCTGGAATCTGTATTTTAGTGTTCATCCTCATGTCAGAACTAAAGTAGCTAAAGTATCACCTATACCTAGATGACAAGGGAAAAGATACCTGAGCTTTTGCTCAGTTTTCACTGGGATTTTTAAGAGAGGTTTTAAAGAAAGGGTAAAGGCCTCAACGCAGTGTACAGATAAGTTGTTATATACATGAATCTTATGCATATTCACCAAATATATATTAATCATCTAATATGTCTAACTTAGTAACTTTGTAACTATATGCAATGTCCTCAGTTGCAAACTGTGTTACCCACATTTTGAAAATGAGGTAAGTGCCTTAGGTAAGTACCCTAGATACTTACCACCCATCTAAGGTTGCTCAGAAGACCAAGGAAGAGATAATATATAAGTTAATCACAATGGCTTTGGGAGCACACAGATTTAAATGGATGAGTGGATGAGTGAATGAATAAGTGTGCAGTTATGTATATAATTAAAACCAATTAAGACTGTACAAATAAAAATTATATGTGAATGATATTGAAGCACACAATAAATTGATTATTGATAACTAAGGACATTATTATTTTCTGTTCTAACCCCACACCTTAATATTTTATAGGTAGGTAGATAGAATATCTCAAATCATTATTGCCTTAGTTTTCATGTGTAATATTTATTTGAAAAAGTATCTATCATATTATTAGTATGAGATAAATGTATTCAGCTTTATTGATCAAATGCTATTGACAATATTTCACAGAAGCAAGCTTTATGTTTGCTTGACTTTTTAAACTGAGAGTAATTAAATTAGCAATTTTCTACTCTTATAGTTAGTTAATGTATAAATTACAGTTGTTGTTTAAAGAACTAATTTTATAAATTTAAAGTTTCCTTATGCTTTGTTGATTTATAGTTTACATTTAGCTTTGTAATTTCAGTAGTGGAAAAGTAGTGTATTTCATCTTGGGGCATTGGACCTTAGTCGTGACTCTACATTATGATCTTCTGTGGAATTAAAAGGAGCTCCCACCCCAAGACTTGGAAACCTTTTTAACATATGGTATATGTTTAAAAGTTTCCCTCGTGACAGTCTTGGTTGAGTCACTGTCCTGGGGAAAGTAAATGATTGAGGGCTGTTTCCTCATACAAATATCTGAATTTCTGAAGGTAAAGAGTACTTTTTTCAGTTAAAGCTTTTTAAATGCATATGTCACAAAATTTCCCTTGATTAAAAAATCTTATCAAAGCAATATATACTGGTTAATGTTTGCCAAAAGTTTAGAAAAAAACACCACATTGAAATTCAAAAGATTTAAAAGCAGCAGTCACCTCATTTTGGTGTATTTCTATTTACAAATTCAAATAGTTTTCAGTTTCTATTATTATAATCACAGCCTTAGTCTAATACTCCTTTCCCCCTAAAATTCATTATGAAATTATGTCTTGGAGACAGAAGAATAACTGGTTTAGAATGAAATTACTTTTCAGGTCTCTCTTTGGAAGTCATGGCCCCTACTGGGCTGAAGAAAATTTCCTGGCTTTGTGAAAAGAATTAGTAACGGTGGTTCTTTCCTATTTGGGGTATTAACATTTTCCAGTTTTTTGTTCTGAGCATTTTAACTCATTTCTTTCTCACAATAAGACTCAGCCATTTCTCCCTGTCTATGACATTCAATTTTTTTTTTTCCCCAAGCTACTTATCAGTGTCAGAGCAGGTCCCTCAACCACTTTCCAGCTCCTATTCCAATGTTAGAAGGAGGGAAGGAAACAAAACAAAACAAAAAAAAAAAAAAGGAGGGGGAAAAAGAGAAAAAATATGAGAGGGACTTCTGTCATTAACATATACTGAATTTGGGAACAGCCTCATGTAAACACTACTCACTTGTAGCTTCACTGTGTCATTTACATATGAAAGGCTCTGAGGAGCCCTGTAGTAAAATCAAACCAAAACACATCAAATAAAACTAAACACCTGTTTAACTTTATTGAACTTAGATTTTCCAATTTTATTTGATCATGGAATCCCTCTTAGCAAAAAAACACTACAATAAACTATGACAATGGATTTCCATATATTACTCTATTAGACTAGTTTAAAGGAAAGAGCCTCTTAAAAAATTATGTCAGTGTTTTAGAGGAAAGGGCTGGTCATTCCTT